TATAAACACAATTGCAATGATAAAGTAACACTCCATTTCCTTTCTTAATTTTCATCACATTTTTTGCACAGAAACAAGGTTACTGCCACATTACTGTATTGTTATCAACCTCCCTACCACTCTGCCGCAACCAATCATCATAAAGTGGAGGTGACCTACATTCCCACCTCTAACCCAGTGCCTGGACACTCGTGGACCCCTCAAGTGAAATGCCAGCGTCAGTATACATTTTGGAACCAGTGACACAGGATAAGAATTTTTTTTAACAAATTTTACCTTTGAAATGAATCTTAAAATTCATATGCAATAATCTTTAAAATTTGTAGAAACAAAATTCTGTTATGATTTGTTATAAGAAAAAGATTGAAACTGTGTCACTGACCGAACTGTTGGTCACTGATCTTCTTGAGGTTATCTTGAGATGATTTTGGGGCTTAGTGTCCCCCGTGGCCCGATCCTCAACCTTTTTGTTACACATTCCCAGGAAGCAGCCCTTAGCAGCAGTCTAACTACCGGTACCTATTTACTACTAGGTGAACAGGATCATCAGGATGAAAGAAACTCTGCCCATTTGTTTCTGCCTCCACTGGGGGATTGAACCCGGAACCTCAGGACTATGAACCCTGAGCACTGTCCACTCTGCCGTCAGGCCCCAGATTGATGCACGCAGTCCAATGAAGAAATCACAGGTCAGTTGATTAGGTAGTCTTAGGTGGTGTTTATCAAATTCCCTCTTGAATACAACTAGAAGTCTGTTAATAATGCCCCCCCTTATATATAGAGGGTGGGTCTTAAAAACCCTTGGGTCTTTAGTGTTTATACAGTAGAATTATTATTATTATTAAAAAAAAGGGCTATTTTCTTTGTTGTTTCATTCCTAGTGGTCTTGGAAAATGACAAAGAAGTGTGTACTCTATATGTGAAGAACTCGACAGGAGGTTCCACAAGGTTCACAAAATGCAAATAGACTGGTGTCCAAGGAGCAGTGACAACACCCAAAACCAACACTAGACAACTGAAGTTACTGCAGAAGAGGTAATAAGACACCAGGAAGAACTGGATGTGGGAAAAGCAGGACCAGACTAGATATTACCATGGTTATTGAAGGAAGCTGCCTTACGAACCTGCTCACATTTTTAGAAACGGTCACCAGGTACTCAGGAAAAGGCCTTCCGGTGGATTACCTGATGTATTCACCTGGTTGAATTCACCTAGTTGTGCTTGCGGGGGTTGAGCTTGCTCTTTCGGCCTGCCTCTCAACTGTCAATCACCTGTTAATAATTCCCCCCCCCCCCACACACACACACACCCATGGAAACAGCTCAGTAACAGCTGTTAACTCCCAGGTACCTATTTACTGCTAGGTAACAGGGGGGCATTCAGGGCGAAAGAAATTTTTGCCCATTTGTTTCTGCCTGGTCCGGGAATTGAACCCAGGCCACAGAATTACGAGTCCTGCGCGCTGTCCATCCAGCTACCAGACACCCTACCCCACCCTGATGTACTGTAGTAGTATTACCTGATGGGATGTAGGCTTTTGGCTTTTGCTAAAGCCTTTGACAAGGTACCATATGAAAGACTGGCAAGAAAACTACAGGCCCATGGAGTAAGTAGTAAATTACTAGAATGGATAAAACAATGGTTGAAACAAAGAAAACAGGGGTAGTGCTAAATGGGAACAAATCTGAGTGGAAAAATATGGTAGGTGGGGTACCTCAGGTGTCCATTTTGGGGGCAATCTTTTTTGTCATATACTGCACATTAATGACAGATAGGATTATTACAAACCACATCATTAACTTTGCAGATGAAACAAAGATTTTTAGTAAAGTGGGAAATTATAATGATATTGAAGCCTTACAAGAGAGATCTACAGTACATGAATTCCACAAATGGTCAGAAGACTGGCAAATGCTTTTTAATTTAATATTGACAAATGAAAAAATCTTGCATGTGGGGCATAACCCATGCCATAACTACCAAATCAATGCTATTACATTACAGCAGACTGATGAGAAAAAGGACCTGGGAGTTGAATTCCACCACTCACTAAAAGTTGCAAAACAGGTAGGAGCAGCAGTCAGAAAAGCTAACCAAACCCTCGGAATAATCAAGCGTACCCATGATTTTAAGGAGGATTTGGTCTCTTGTGTGCCCCTATTTGGATTACTGTATCCAAGCATGGAGACTTCACTTTCAGAAGGATATAGCTGCTCTGGAGAAAGTGCGACACCGGGCAACAAGTCATCTCTTGTATCAGGAATGGTAGAGGGCCACAGGAATGAGAGGGCAGATCTCATTGAAACTTTTAAAATACTAAATGAGTTGGAGGATGTTGATCCTGACAATTTCTTCAAAAGTTCAGATGTAACACAAACAAAGAGCAATGGTTTCAAGCTCAACAAACCTCAATGTAGGACTGAAAATAGGAGATGCTTTTTCACCCACAGGGTTAAAAACCCATAGAACCGACTACCTGCCAAAACCGGAAATGCCAAAACTCTGTTAGGTTTTAAAATCCACCTGGAGAGGATCATCAAGGCAAATGGGGGGGGGGACCTTTGTCAAACCGCCGGCTTCCTGTCCATGGCCACACGAAACTACTCCCTTTCACAACTTTGTAAACATTTGATTATTTATTTCAAGTTTTTGCCCGAAATGCTTTGCGTAATAGTGGCTTCATAAATTGTGTAACCCCTGTCCCTACAATTTGTACATTACTCATTTGTTCTTTGTACACACATTCTTTTCAATAAAATTATATTGTGTTAGCGGCCCTAAGGTTAAATCAGGTAAATCGGGAAGCTGCTGGGATTTTGTGTTACCCATTAACTAGATTGTTCAACACTACATCAGAGTAGGAAAATCATGCTTCACAAACTTGACTGAATTCTATGACTAGGTCACCAAAATAAGACAGGAAAAAGATGTTTAGAATGCATTTTCCTAGACCGTCAGAAAGCTTTGATACAGTAATTTACAAAAAATTAATTCACAACAATTGGATGTGGGAGTACCCAACAGACAGGAAACAACAGAGTAAAAACTATAAGAAGATTGTAAGATGCGGCAAGAAGACCTTAAAAGGCCTCCTGGTCAACCAGGCTGATTGACAACTACTGTTCCTAATACAGTACTGTACCTGTGAAAGGTATAGTATTTCATTCAGTAGAGAAAGGACTCACTGAAAGGAGTGAGCATGCAGACAACACAAGCTAATGAGGAATGTAAAAACAATACTACAGAAAGTTACAAGAAGACCTTAAACGGACTCTTGGCTCAACCTTGACAATGAGTGGACATCTGGACATCTGCACCACCGCCTCATTTGTTTCACGATTTTGGATTTTGATACTGCTGTTTGGTGTTCCTATTCAAAGTTCTGGATTGTTATTCAACATTCAACTTCATTCATTTCGTCTTTAGGCTTCACGATTAATCCTTCACTGGTATTGCGGGGTGCATCCGATCCTTTTATATTGGCGTCGCCCTAAATCAACAACAACAGAACACCTTAACCCTTGCACTGCTCACCTATTTTCGGCAAAAACGTCTTGGTGCAATTGACAAGGACATATTTTTGTTATTTTTACAAATGTTCAGGTAAATTTAATGTCAAAATGTTTCCAAAGTCAACTATTTCCATTTCAAAACACAAATAGTAAGGAAAACATTAAAAAACATTAAAATATAGCCAAATTAAAAAACAAAAAGCACAACTCTCTGAGCGCCTAAAGGCGCTTTGCGCAGTGCAGTGGTTAAACTCCAGGTGGGCAAACAAATGGTAGGTGCTAGAATTCAAACCCAACAAGTGTAAGGTAATGAACATCCACACTTTTTTAAGGCATATAATCATACCTGAAAGAGTAGAGGTTAATAAGATAAGTACCAGATAACAGCTAAATGGGATCAAACTATGAGGATAGAGTAATCTCACAGCCTCAAAGAGCAGATGAAACATAGGGAATATGCTCACAACATACTGTACTGAAATGACTAAATGTGAATAAAGACACTCTTTAAACTGATATATAACTGAACAAAAGGATAGAAGCCAGATATGTAACAAAAATAAAAGTCGAAGAAATACTCGTATCCAGTATGGGCAAGTACTGAACCCCAGCGGTCACCACCTACCACCACTGAACCTGTGTGGTAGTCATCTGCCACCATTGAACCCTAGCAGTCATCATCTGCCACCACTGAATCCTAGTAGTCATCATTCACCACCATTGAACCCTAGTAGTCATTATTCACCACCATTGAACCCTAGTAGTCATCATCTGCCACCATTGAACCCTAGTAGTCATCATTATCTGCCACCATTGAACCCTAGTAGTCGTCATTATCTGCCACCATTGAACCCTAGTAGTCGTCATTATCTGCCACCATTGAACCCTAGTAGTCGTCATTATCTGCCACCATTGAACCCTAGTAGTCGTCATTATCTGCCACCATTGAACCCTAGTAGTAATTATCTGCCACCATTGAACCCTAGTAGTCGTCATTATCTGCCACCATTGAACCCTAGTAGTCGTCATTATCTGCCACCATTGAACCCTAGTAGTTGTCATTATCTGCCACCATTGAACCCTAGTAGTCGTCATTATCTGCCACCATTGAACCCTAGTAGTCGTCATTATCTGCCACCATTGAACCCTAGTAGTCATCATCTGCCACCATTGAACCCTAGTAGTTGTCATTATCTGCCACCATTGAACCCTAGTAGTCGTCATTATCTGCCACCATTGAACCCTAGTAGTCATCATCTGCCACCATTGAACCCTAGTAGTCATCATCTGCCACCATTGAACCCTAGTAGCCATCATCTGCCACCATTGAACCTTAGTAATCTGCCACCCCTAGTTGTCGTCACGGAACCCTAGTGGTCACCAGTGAACCATTGTGGTCGTCACTGAACCCCTATTGGTCACCACCCGCCATCTTTAGCCCAGTACACGACGAAGGTATTGACTTAAAGATTCAATTACTGTACTTACGCTTAACTTTACTCTGATTAGCAGTAACTTCAGCAGACATTTTCCTCAAGTCTTTCCTATCTTCTTCTTCATCGACTTGTTGACGGCGGCCACTTTCCGACCTCGTTATCTAAACTCTTTGAAAAACAACTCTCCGAATATTTCCACTTTATATCACTGTTATTCATTTATTGAAACTATATCTCTTTGTTTTCGTCAATAATTATTGCATTGTGATTTTTCATAAATGAATAACTAACAAAATATAAGAGCAAATCATCGAGTTACTTAATACAGAGTTGTTCAAAACTCTTATTTAGAAAATTAGACAGGTGTCAGCCAATTTCAAATTTTGTTATGTTGATTTATTTATATATACATATAAGAACGTATTATGTGTGGTGGCAGTTTAGACAGCGGATTTCTAGTTGATGTAGTGCTCTTGGGGTTCTAAAGCTTTTGATATTTGCATAAGCATGCATACAGGCATGCATAAAGTGCTGTTATAGCACCTGGAATAAACATCTAGAATGGATAAAACAATGGTTAAAACAAAGACTGCAAAAGGTAGTCTTAAATGAGAATTTGAAAATATTTTAAGTAGTGTACTCCATGTGATAAGCCTGAAATTGAGTTGGATTGGGCATTCCAATCACTGCTGTAAAAGCCGCAATATTTCAGGAAATTAGTGAAGACAGAAGAGCAGTTACTGACACTCAAAGGCCAGAAAGCACGAGTATAAAGAGCTTTGACACGTTTAGAACCGATGATTATATGTACGGGCAGCATAAAACATCCACTAGATAGGTATGAAATTTTAATTGCTAGTATTAGGCTGGGATATCGATATCTATGGCAGGTGGCTGCAGGTAATGGATTCCCCAATGGTGAACATTTCAATTGTAAAATATGTGGACAAGAGCTAGGATATACTCTCTAACACTATATCTGTGATTGCCCTGTTATAAGTGATTTCAAACCAAATGGTATGAGGGACTTTGAGTTCTGTAAGTACTTCATAGTTCAAACACTCAGGAATATTGGAAGATATTCTTGTGCTGTACCCAGATTTTGCTAGTGGAGGTTATTAGACCAGACACATTTCATGTTCTCTCCTGATTCCATGTATGACTAATCATCCTGTGAGATGGGGATCACAGATGAACTTAGAGCTAGTTTTTTATCTACACTGTGTAATCTTTCATACAGAATAGAGTAGCAACACATTACTGTGTATACCTAAGCTTGTTAATAATAAAAAAGTTGGAAAAGTTCTTGGGGCCAATTGCATACATGCATCCAAGTCGGGTCAGAGTCGAAAGGTCCTGCATGGGTCAATTCAGGAGGGAGGGTAGAAGGATTTGGGGAACGTTTCTTTTCACCTGATGCCTCTGTTCATCTAGCAGTAAGTAGATACATGTAAAATAAGACAATTGCTAATGTTGTTGTCAGGATATATCTGGTGATCATAATTAGAAATTATATAGCATGACTGGTGCAATATCATTATAATCTTGACATTGCATTAGATCATCGCAAACTCGTGAAGAACGAATTGAAACAGTGAAGGTGATGCCTGTGACAACTTAGCCTGATTTCGAGTTATAAGTACTTTTCTTTTTTAAACGATCACCATTTTTTACTGGGTGTCCAATATGGTGTTATAACAATATTAGTCATATACAAGCTTGTTGGCCGCCAAGCTTGTATATGTATTTCTCGCTTTACAATAAATATTTTCGTCATCTGCAAATTTGATGGTGTGGTGTGTAATATTCTCATCTACAAAAAGGATAGGTCCCAAAATGAACCCTTGCAGCACCCCACCTATCATCCTTGTGGCACTTCATTCAGATTCGTTTCCATTTAGCACGACCCTTTGTTTTCTTTCCTTCAACCATTGTTTTATCCATTCTAATATTTTACCATTTATTCCTTGGGCCTGTAATTTCCTTGCAGTCTTGCATATGGTACCTTATCAAAAGCTTTAGCCAAATCCATGTAAACTACATCCACCGGAAGGCCTTTGGTTGGTTACCGTTTCCAAACATGTGAACAAGTTTGTAAGGCAGGATCTGTTTTTAAACAAACTCATGTTGTGTCGATTATACAAGATTGTTCAGTGAAAGATGGTGGGTGATTCCTTCCCTGAGGATTCTCTCCATGAGCTTACAGATGTGTGAGATGAAGCTGATCGGACCGTAGTTGTCTGTTGAACTCTTTCTATCTTCTTTGAAAATTGGGGCGACATTTGCATTGTTCCAATCTAAGGGAACTATCCCTTAGAACTTACAAAATGCTCACAAGGCAGTGTTACATTATATCTGCCAGAATCAGGCTGGGATATCAATACTTATGGCAATGGCAGACGGCTGCAGGTAATGAATCCGCCAGCGTTGAACATTTCGATTGTAAACTATGTGAACAATCTCTAGGACACACTCTCCAACACTATTTATGAGTGCCCTGTTATCAATGACTATGTGATATGTGTCTAGGGTATGTGATATGTAGGGTATGTGATACTCTGAGCTCTGTAATTACTTTTTCACTCACGAATATTGGAAGATATTCTTGTGCTTTACCCAGAGTTTGCTGGTACAGGCTAATAGATAAAATCCAGAGAGAGGGTTTTATTCACAATCTCACAGTGCACTATCTATAGTAAAATCAACGCAATATGGTTTTGTTATAAACTTCCTGTCTTATTATTTTAATAAGCAAGTACAAGCAAGGGTCAATCTTGGGGCCAACCTTTTTTGTCATTTATATCAATGACAAAGTTGAGAATATTACAAACCACATTAACAAATTTTGCCAATGACACTAAGATTTATGGTAAAGTAAGAACTACACATGAACTCTTTAAATGGTCGGAAAACTGGCACGTGCTTTTTAATATTAACACGTGCAAGACCTTGCATGTAGGACATAATAATGCACATAAATAAATAATAAATATAAATGTTTATTTAGGTAAGGTACATACATACAAGAGATTTTACAAAGAATGATGGATTTATAGATAGGGCTAGTACATACAATGCCTAAAGCCACTATTACGCAAAGCGTTTCGGGCATGAAAAACTTAAATGATTAAAGCTTAATACTAATTGAGTATAAAGAATAAAATGTGTTGAGAACAAATAAAAATAGAGATAAAAAAAGGGGGGGAACATGGCTGAAAAAGCAGCACAAATACAATTAGGTCGACAAACAGCGTTGTTTAAAAAAAAAACAGACATGGGTTGACAATAGAGGGGTAAGGTAGGTTACAGGGAATTTATTAGGTAGTGCTTCGTTTTTATCTTAACTGGTTGAGAGAGGTACAGTCTTTAACATGGTTGGGAAGGTCATTCCACATTCTGGTACATAATATCTGATCTTAGAAAGAATGCCACCAGTTTTTGATACTTTTTTTTATATATTTAGAATGTGTCCCTGGAAATTCAGCTTGTGGTCAATGAGAACGCCAAGGAGAACATCACAACTATCACATCAACAACACTATAACATGCAGCAAATTGAAGAAAAAAGGGACTAGGAATCAAAATCCACCATAGTCATTGAAAGCAGCACAAATGGGAGCTACAACAACAACAAAACACACACACAAATAAACCCTAAGAATAGTCAAACGAACCTTTGACTTTAAGGAAACGTATATATTTATATATACGTATATATATGAGGTTAATGAACTGAACAAATCTCTGATGGGCCCACATTTGGACTACTGTATCAAAGCATAGATACCTTATGTTCAGAAGGGCGTATATCTTGATTTGGAGGGTATCTTGTGTGTGTGTGTGTGCATACGTGGATGGTATGTTGCGTGTCAGCTAAATTGCGTGAACACGAATATACAGGGTTTCGTGTGCGTGGAGGCTGTGTGCATGGAGGCCGCGTATATATATGTGTGTGCGTGGGGTTGGGTGGGAGGTGATTGCATGTGCGTGGAGGGTTTCGTGTGCTTTTGATGAGTTGACACTCCGTTAAAAATGCAACTATTTTGCCTTTACCAACGTTCAAATCTTTACTAAAACCCCCACAATTTTGACGCATTGGTGGGTTCCGTTTAAAATGCGATGTATTAGGTAAGAGGACATGGGAGTGTTTCTTATATATTGAGGGTGGGTGGGGAAGGGTTCGTATGCGTTTAGGATGGCATGCACGTGGAAGGTTGCGTGTGTGCATGGAGGGTACATATAGTGTGTGCGTGGAGGGTTATATGGAGCGTGCGTGGAAGGTTGTGCGCCACCCTGTAGCGCCGGCCAGTGCTGGAACCCCACATACCGGACGTGACGTCACGGCTCATGGCGGCTGTTATTCAGCAGGAGTGAGACAAACAAGGCCGTGTGACCCAATATTTACAGCATCACACGCCCGAAAATGGTGGTTCTAACGCTTAAGAACTTGCAACAGCAGACCTTCACCGTAGAAATCGAATTGTCCGCTACGGTAAGCTGCGTGAGCGTGCACAATACACCCAAGCTTGAGGGGGGCCAAGTTTTGGAGTGCTGAGTTACTGTTGTAGGATGGTGAGGCAGCAGAGAGAGGCGTGAGGAGGCGGCCGCCAGGGGCGCTGCCGCACTCTCGGGAAGGTCTCCTGGGGTGTGGGGGTGACACCTGACACTCACTCCTCCCCCAGGGGCCACAGGCAGGCCTGACACCCGGCTCCTGCCTCAATATATGGTGGTGGGGAGGGGTGGCTAGGCCGGGCCAGCGGTCATTTATCGGGGAAGCTCTTAACTTATCATAGGCTCACTCTGGTCTCCAGTATGTTCATTTTGTGAGGAAAAGATCATTTTGTTACTTAGCTTACACAAGGGTTGGATGTTAGTTCACGTAGCAGTTAACTTGTCTTACACGGTAGCATATGCTAAGGGTTGAGAGACTACCGGGGTGGCTGAATGGAGACAGGTCACATCATACCCCTAGAGTATTTACCAATGGATTTTAAGACCTGTCTAACCCTGCCCAACCTAACCAAACAGTACAGTATACTGTTTTGACAACTGGAATTTGAGCTTTTGTCGAAGTGCCCGTGTACGATTTGAGCATACCTCGTTGGCTACCACATGGCTGGTACTGTACAGGATTATACCCTCGTGATTTTGTGCTGTATATTAAGCCTAGTCTGTAGCTAAGTATGGTGGTCTTGCTAAGTTTGTGTTTCCTATGGCAGTCTTTATTTAAACCATCTCCCAGTCATATGTAAGCTGTTTTATATTTATCTTTTCAAATAAAAAGTATTGTCTATAATTGTGTATTGTGCAGTCCTCACTGGTTCAGTATAATAGTCTGTTCATTCTGGGGCTGGGTTTTGAACTCTACTACATTCGAATTCTGTAAGTAATATGAAGTGTACTTATTATAGCAAGATACAAATTTTTCCTATTTTTAGTAAAGTACTGTGATGGGATTGAATCGTACATTCTATTGTCTCGGTTATCAGAGCATAACAAAAAGTAAACTTGCAGTTCTTTCTTAGGAATAATTTAATAATTCTAAATAATAGATCCCAACTTAAGAAGTGTGAATGTGTGATATATACTCATGGTGTAAAGTGCTCTTTGGATACAGTAGGCTGTACTCTGGGTACTACTCAAAATTGTATCCTACACTTAAAAGTCCTTAGATTAGTTCTGTAATGATTAAACTATTTCCCAATTTTTGTTTTGCTTTGAAGAAATTAAACTGTCTAGCCTAAATCTTGTCATAAAATTAAATCCTGAGAAATCCTTGCATCTTTACTGATAAGGTACTATTTACCTATTAGTGTTTATTGGGAAATGAGGTCTGGCTCACTATGCTTTGTAATAATACTACATTTTGTGAGTTTGTTGTTAGACTATTGTATGTAATTTTATGCTAAATCTAGTTAATACATATTTGGGTTTGGAAGTACAGGTGGTGCCTCTTATGGCTATAAAGTATTTGGCACTATTGATGTTTCCACAATTATTTCTGTGTGACCAGTATTGCAGCATAATCAAGGTGCATTTCAAACAATGTCTCAATAATTCTTGGACTGCAGAATGGGCAATATTGTATTGTTACCACCTGGCAGCTATCAAAGGGCAGCCAGATAATACAGTGCTACCTCTACCATAAGTTGACTGCTTTGAAGGTCAGATAAACTGATGGGGAAAAAATCCCATTCTCTGTTATGAATATAAAAAATTAAGTTATAAAGATTCTATTAGCCTAAGTGTGGCTAATAAAATACTGTACTACCTGTAATACAAAAATTAATACTGCTGTACTGATGTGTACATTAGTGGTGGTATTTATTAATAATAAGAAAATATTATAATGGTTTATAATATCAGACCACCAACTGATGGTCTGGGAATTTTTTTTCTTTATGTAACTATTTTCTGTTATATATACCGTAATGGCATCAAATAGTTTGCTTTATTAACTATCATTTCTTATTTGGTGATCCGCGGGATTTAAAATTATGAATTTAGTGATCTATGAGCTCTGAAAGGTTGGCACCTGCTGGTCTAAAGATTTTTTGTCCGTATTAATTGCTAAATTAATGCTATTCACTTCGATTATTGTTACAGATGCATGAATTATTTTATAAAGAAATGTATTTTATACATCTGTATTGTACATTCCTTAATTTTCAGCTATACTCAATACTGTACCTGTAATTACCAAGATTTTATATGCCATTACTACATAATAGGATAAACGTTATTACAGTGTGTATAAATAGTCATTAACTAGAAATTTTTGGAGCATTTTGCGTTATTACATCAAAAATATTTATAAAAATATCAAGTACAAGAATTTTATTTTCTTCACCTTTATTTAGTTAGTTTCCCTGAATATTATAATGTAAAAAAAAAGGGCAACTATAAAAATTTTAGGAACCCTATATAAATTTAATATAAAATTGTGTGTATATATATATCCAAGAAAGGATATGAAATTTGTAATTTTTGTTTTTGCCATACTGTATTTTGTAGTTCATATTCAAAGAAGAAACATGAAATTTTAATTCAAATATTTTAAGATTTGTGCAGATGGCTATGTTCATTTGACAAACACGGCACACTGAAAGGATAAATTTTTTTTGTAATTTACCTGTACACACACACCAGTATTCGCTTCTTTTTAAACGTGGTTAAGTTTAAAAAGTTAAGAATGGAAACTTGGTTAATTTATGAAGAGTGCATGTTACTAATGATTGATTAATAAGAAATATACAATATTTCGGCATCTGGCAGAAAGTCTTAATTTTTCACAGAAAACGTTTAGAAGACACTTCTGTTTTGACTTGCACAAATGGTTCGCATAATTTAATCTTTGATGTAGGCAGTGGAAGAGGAGGAATAATTTAAAGAATACCCTGTTTTTTTTTCTGTAAATGCAATAATTTCATTATCCTTCAGAAATGTTTAGGCGTGTCATAACATTTGTCAACCCATCCTTATGCTTGGCAAAAGGCTGGGTTGGGTTTTCTAGATTACTTATCTGTAGCTCCTCTACTGTGAGGTAAAAATTTCATCCCTTATTCAGCTATGTACAGCACAAAAGTTATTTTTCTTCCTTCCTTTATAATTCGATTTGTTTTACTTTAAGGAACTCATTTAGTGTATTGTTGGGAACCGAATTAAATATCCTAATATTCATTTTTAATAATATTTTAAAATGTAACATTACTTTTGTTACCCTCAGGTCAGAGCCTTAAAAGAGAAAGTTGAGAAAGAAAAAGGCACAGATTATCCTGCTGTTGGCCAGAAACTTATTTATGCAGGTATGTAACATTAGCCCAGTGTCATGAATGCTAGATCATTTGAAATTTATGAGTTTCCTCCACCATGTAGTTTGGAATTCTTAATTGGAATGGTTAATGGCTAGAAGCATGTATACTTTAAGTTACTAATGCTGAAGAAAAGGGAATAATGAAAAATTTGGAATAAGTAGCCAGTGACTACCCTATTTACTAAATTAGTACTGTATGTTATATCTTTTAGGTAAAATCCTACAAGATGATACGACACTCGATTCATATAACATCGACGATAAGAAATTCCTTGTGATAATGGTTACAAAACCCAAAGCGGCAGCACCACCACCTGGTCCTGCCGATCCCACAGTGATAGAGGAGCCAGATGTTGCTTCTACACAGGAATCGACAGAAACTTCACCGGTAAGGTCTTATTTCAAACATAGTACAAATGACCACATGTCTCGGTACTAAGACTGAATTAATAATTTGTTATGTACAAATGAGTGATTTGTCATCCAAAAAAATCTAGGGAGAAAATATTTTACAGTATATTTTCACTGTACAGTGAAAATATACTTTCACTAATTACTGTACAGTAATTAGTTCTACCATCAAACTATTTTCCCAGAGTACGAGTACACCTACCACAGAAGCATCATCTGAGGCAGCATCTACTTCCACAACAGCTACCACAGCTTCTTCCACTTCCACCACAACCACAACAACTAGTACTACCACCACTACCACCACTCCGCCTACAGAAGCGTCAACAACACCAGCAGCAGCACCAGCCTCGCAGACAACTTCAGGGGGGTAAGTTTATTATGTTTGCTTATTTGATAAATCCAGCAGATTTTATCTTCAATATTAGGGTGGGGCTGATGACTCTCTGCCCCCATGAAAGTGGGGAAATACTTTAATGATTTAGATCCCTGGCTCCCAACTGGTGAGTTTCAACCCTCCCCCCTCCCTTGGGTGTCTTTTGAGTATTTGAATATTGGGCACTTCCCAAAAAGGTTGGGAGCCACTGATTTAGATAATAATGTGATGGGTAATTGTTAGAAATGTAAGTGCTTTTTCTTTCAGTTCCATTTCTTTTGCCCCACACTTCCTAACCAATTAGGACTACTTCCAGTCATTTTATTATATAACCAATCATTTTGTATGGATAATGCCAATTTCTGGGCGAGCTCTGGTGGCTTCCTGAAGTTGTCTCGCCGAGATGGCTCCCAACTACTGTACTCGGTTGCATCAGCTTTGGAGTTCCTCAGCCTATCGTGGACCAGAGCCAAAACCTGGGCCCCATCAACAAAAAGGAACAGGAAGCAGGTGACACTGCCCCCTCACCAGTGAAGGCACCCAGAAAGTCGGCTAACCAAAACAGGCTGAAGGTTTGTACTCACCCCACCCCTCCCACTCGTTTGTTTCCTCAAGTGGGAAAGATACTCTCACTGTCAAAGAGCGCACACAAAGCCCCCTTTCGATGACCTAGAAAGGGAGGGAATGAATCGGGGAGCCACGAGGGTTCGCCCAGAAATCGGAGTTTCATTATATTCAACCCTAGTTTTCTGAGGGGTGCCCCTTGTTACTCTGAAGCTAACTACACCACGGAGAAGGTAGAAAACAGGAACTCATCCTAGATCAAAGAGACACTGTCAACTGATAAGAGAACAGAAAAGAAAGGAGGTGGCCTGAAGATCAAGCTGGCTTAAACAGCACATGTGCAAGCCAGAGCTGAAACAATGCATGAGACAGCTTGCGAAACGGTGCTGAGGTAGTATTGATGCTGAATACAAGCTGCGCTGCTCCACCAACACCGCATGATAAGTGGCAACAGTATTTGGTATGAGATGTCAATCAAGAAAAAGCCAAGAGAGAACCAAGAGAATTAACAAACATGTTTGGAACTTAAAAGCAGTGACAAAGAGAAAGGAAGTGGCAAAAATTGCCAAGAAACCTCATACTTCTGCCGAGAGGACAACCTGCAGGTGAGACACCACTAAAGTAGCCACTCACTCGCCGATGGTGATAGAGAAGTGCCAAAAAGTTCAGATGCGAAGAGCTGAGGTTAAACCATCAAAATGTCACCTGGCCAGTCTTCTGAAAGGGTTGAAGCCGTGCATAAATGCTCGGGTTCAGACACCAAGCAAGCAGTGCCTGAAACCAAGACTGAACTGGTCACTAAAGAGCCAGAAGGACCACTTTCCCCTGGTAGGACTCCAACCTGCCCACAACAGCTGAAGCAGGAGAAAGAGGTGCATGACCAATCCAGTCAATAGGCATCCACTGTGAGGGCCTTGCAATTGGGGAACAGCCATGTAAAGAGGAAGATGCTGGTTCCAAGACGACACAGAGAGGTTCGAATAACTCAAAAGAAAGGCTGCCCAAAACATCTGAAACACGCTCGCATTTGGGAACGACAAAAGCTAAGCCCCCAAAGAGAACAGAGGAGTGTCCACTAACCAGAAGGACTCTGGAATCTCATAACACATCCAGTAAGGGAAAGAAGACCCAAACTAAAAAAATCCAGGGGTACATCATAGAGGCAAACACCAGGTCATAGAGGAAAATGTCCGACGAAAAAACAACAAATCTCACAACAACAAAAAACTGTGAACCGCCAAATAATAACCTACAAATTGCCATCCAAAAACTTCCAATTGGCCACTAAAAAATTCCAAATTGCCCAAGAAAAACCGGCGAGTTTTTCCACTATAAAACTGATTTTCCAAAGAAAAGGCTATCAATCGGCCAATAAAAAATCACAAGAGGTTGTAATTTCGTTATAAAATTTGTATATTTCCAACTTTATTTATAGTCATCTTTAATTTTCCTTACAAATAAATCTACAAAAATATTTTATTAATTATTAATGTAACTATGAGCACAGTGCTTGGACCAAGTTTTCTATTTGGAAATATTTTAAATTTTTTTACTTATCCTGTACAGTACTTCAAATCTATACTGTATCAGTGTTGGGGGCCTAAATCAAGTTTTTTAAATGATACTATTGGGAAGATAGTCATATACTGTACTAAAATTAGAATAAATACAAATATCAAATCATGTTTTATACCTGCACTTGATATAAGAGGAGAACTGGACTGAGAAAGAAGTGCCACGATGAAAGGGTTAAAAAGGTTTTCTGCTACACTATATTTTCTTTTGTTTTAATAAAAAACTTATATCGAATAAATTTTATTGCTCATCTTATATTTTGCACTTAGTAAACTGTAAGCTTTCAGCAATTTTTGTACTAATTTAGTGAACTTGAAACCTTGCTAGTTTATGAACTGAAATTGTGTAGTACAGTAATTGTATTTTATCTTGTTTACCAAGAGGTAACTGCCTGTTTTCTGAACATTGGTAAGACCTGCTTACTGGGCTCACTGTCAGATGTTTTGGGATGGGATTGTTTGATTAGTGTAACCATTGCAAAGAAATGGTTATGTTAGTATGATTTATGAAATCTTGCTACCAGATTGGGTAATTTGGTCATCAACCATAGTTGATCCTGTTTCATGAAAGGTGGATGGTTACCATGTAATCATTTTGTTTATAGTATTCATCACAAAATTTCCCCAGGTCTGTTGGTAGTGCTGAGTCCTTGCTGGTAATGGGTGAAGAATTTAACCGTATGGTAGAAAATATAATGGAAATGGGCTACGAGAGGTCGCAGGTCAGTGCTGTTTCCATAATGCAAATTACTCGATTATATTGTATTTATGTATAATACTAGAAGCATGCCAAAATGATTTGACTGGTTTGTTACTAAAAACAAACAAATGATGCGCAGTGTCTTTGGTTTTATAATACAATACTTTTTATTCACTTGCAACACCTATTCACTTGTACTAAAGATAAGGTATCTGCAGTTTGTGTGATAAAATTTATAGATTTAATTTATAATTATTTGGTCACTGACTTGAAAACGGAGACTGTTTACTCATTGAATTATAATAATAATATATTGAGCATGTAGTACCATCAGTTAAATTAGTGCAACCTCTATTCAGCAACTTCCCAATTGCAATGCACACTTTCCAGGCTGATGTGCAGATTTGCCTAGGATGCAGGGCCAGAGTTCACAGATCTGTGGGAAGGTTGATGGACCTGGTTCATTTTCACTATTTTGGGGCTATCCTCCTATTATTAAAAAAAAAAAAATCAGGGTGCTGGATCCAGAGAAATACTGGCAATGGGGGAAAGTATTTAGAAATACTAATGAGGGGGAAATTTCTTTACAATCGAGATCTTCTGGTAGTTTAAGGCTTTAACCTTATTAGCCATCAATCATTTTCCCTGCATTTTAAAAGCCCTTTACCTCCTTGCAGAAATTATTGTAAAACTAACCCAAGAAACTAATAGTAGACATTTTTTGAGTGGAAATAGTAGTGGAAGTCTATCCAAATAGTTTATAATGACCTGGCTCAACAACATACCAAGATTTGCAGTTTTAATCTGCATGCCCAATGCACAACTTGTGTGGAAACCTGTTATTTACTGTTATTAATTTTATGACCTGAAATAGTTTCCTCTAATCTACTTTTAACTTAAAAATATTGTAATGCTATATCCAGTGAAAATGCTTTAGCAATGGTTTAGCAATCAGACAATGGTTTACACACACTTGCACACACTCACAAAATGCACAGTTGGTATATGTACACTCACTACGTCTATGGATGCTACCAAAGTAATGTAAATAAAATAATTTGTGCAATTTATAGTACAGTACAAGCTCGGTAAAGCATTTCTAAAAAAAATAACAGTATGTACATTATTTCAAGTACAGTATTAATAATATTTACCATTGAAAGCTTAAGACTAGCAAAAATAGGAGAAACAAAAATAATCTGGAAATTAATATACATCAAGAGCAGGATTTTATTATAAATGTACATTTTATAAATGTAATCATATTCATACATATATATGGCATAGTGGATGGTGAACTTTGAACAAAAGGTTAACTGTTCACACATGAGCAGTTAAGGTAACCTGGTTGTAAACCGATTGGTGGATCTTGTTCCAGGAAAACCTAGTAGGTTGTGAAAGTCTGCTAACAAGTCTGAAGTCGTCATCTGTACCCACCTGGGGTAAAAAAAATAATAGTTTTCTCTTAATGCTTATTTGGCACTATTCTTACCAGCCTCTTAATTTGGAGCATGACTAAGTTTGTTTATTGAATAAATATGTTGCAAATGTATTTGAATGTTTAGGGAAAAAAATTCGTGAGGCTTAGAGAAGCTGGTTTGGGCATTTTATAATTATAGTGACAAGGTAAATTGATGGATGAATTCCATTGAATGTTTTTTATCAAAGTGGGTAATTTAGTACCATTTCCTAAGGGTAAGGTGTTGTCGGTCTCAGGTTGAACGAGCGCTTAGGGCAAGCTTCAATAACCCCTACACGGCTGTCCAGTACCTAGTTGATGGCATCCCTCCTAACTTAGATGAGCCAGCGAGCAACCCAGCAGCGGGAGGTGAAGGTGAAGAACAAGTTGCTGCTGAGGGTGATCCTGATCCTGATGGTGAGCACATCTTCCTATATTAATGTTATTTATCCAGAGCATTTGATTCAAATTTATATAATTTCTTGAATTAAATAATTTAAGTTTATTGTGTGTAGAGTGTGCATGTCTACATCAACTTGCATCTAAACTTGCATGTGCATTTTTTGTATGTATATTTACATGTGTACATTTATGTGCATGTTTATTTGTGCCTGTGTGCTTGCAGGAATAGTTTGCTCTGGGGGTACCTGGTGTGTGTGTGTGCATGTGTTATTAGACATTCCCAGGATGGAAATACTTCATGGTGTGTAAAGTGAATTTTTTTTTTTGCTCCAATATACTCATATGGATAGATTATAACCATATAGTGCATCCTCACTCTAATGAATTCCTGGCGAGTCCAAACAAATTGTGTTCAGTACACCTTGTTCAGTTGAACATATAAATGCTCATTTGGGTGAGGGTTATTCGTCCAAGCCGTCGCCAAGCATCGAGAGGCGGCAGTGCTATCATCATCCATGATTTACCTAATCAAAAGTGTAAACTATTATACAATGCTTAAAACTTTTAATCAAACTTAAATTTGACAAAATAATTTACAAATTCTTGTAAAATATCAATATTTAAAATATATACAAAGAACCAGCCAAAAGTGATTAGTTTTCTTCCACCACATTAATGTTCACCATTATGTAAATAAATTTTAGTTTAAGGTGAAATATTAATAAAATATGTAAAACTAGCAGAAATACTAAAGTACAACAAACTATTATTCAAGTATTAGTGTCTATCAATATTAACTCAAAATTATACACAAATTAAAGATATAAAAATATACTGACTTGCATGCCAATAGTCAGTACACATGTTTAAACACCATTGCTGGCTGGTTAGCTTTGTCAGAAATGTTATTGTCAATTATTGCATTATCTGCACTAATTTGCCTTTTTTTTTTTTTATTGACAAGATGTCTTACCAGAGCAAACATAATACTGAAGATTGTAATATAGTTGGAATAAATTTCCATTTGAGTGAAATTTGATGACAAATGTGTAACATCAGCTGACTGGCATCATAGATGCTACAAGTGTGGTGAGGGAGGGAGGATGGTGGTGGATACCTCCCTCCCTGTGAAAATCATTGCAGCAGGATGGGGATCAAACCATCATTCTTGGTCACTCCAGATGCCTGCCTTAACCCATTCGATCACAACATGCTATAAGTAATTTAATTTGGGATCCACTAGGAGTCTTGAGGTACTGGGCTGGTAGCCAGTCCAAATTTTCATAAATTTCCTGTATACACACTGTTGTAGGTAATGGAGTTCTCCAAGAAGAATTCCTTTCAAATATACTAGGAAATCACAATAACTGGTTCAATTCTTGTCCTGCTCCATTGATTTTTGCAAAGATACTTGACGCTATTGTGACTTCCTGGTGTACCTCCCTCGTAAGTACAGCGAGAAAATTCTACCATTTCGCTTGTTTGGGTTCAGTAATGATCGTATATATATATAATTTTGAGAGCACATTGTTTGCAAATGGTTGCTGTAACATACTCCATAGTCAAAATCAAGATTGCATAATATATTAATTTGTTGTGAATATTTATATTGAGGTTAATGTAAAGTAGTTTGTGTAACTCCTGGTCATTATGTAATGTTTGCAGCCACTAATAATTGTCATATTGTTATGACTCTGATGGGGAATTGTTTACCAATGATTGCTGCTCTATCATATGGCATGTTCAAAATAATAAATACGTAATAAATTGTGTTTGTGATTTTTGTTGTTTAATACTGTATAGACATAAAGAAAGATGTTTTATGCTGTATTTGTACTTAAATGTTCTTTTGGGGTATTTGTGAAGATAATTCATTACACTACTCTCCTAGTACGGTAAGTCACAAACCTTTATATGCATTATAGTGGATGTAGGCCCATTGATTTTTTTCTGCAGGGTTGAGGGGTTGCCTGGGAACTTGATGGGTTGAACAAAATTACTTAGGGAACGAATTGGCCTTACACCATATAGTTTGTTCAAGTGAGGACACACTGTATTTACATCATTAATATAAAACCCAGTCGATAATAACAGCAATAGACCAAGTGATCAATAAATGATGATAACTTCTCTTTAAGGGTTAATTCATGGGTACTAGTGCTATAGGGTTAAACACTCCAAATGCAATGCGGGTTTGGTGTCATCTGCCAGTTAAGTCATTTTTTAAAGTGATTTCTTTGCTGCTGGAATTTATTATAATTGCATAAAACCAGCATTGAATGTATTGAAATGACAATTTCTGGGTGAGCCCGGTGGCTCCTCGAAGCTACCATCTTCCGTGTAGGTACCATCTACCAAGTGCCATCAGTCACGGAGTTCTCTGGCCTACTGGGAACCCCAGAACCAGAACCTGGTCCCCCTCACGGCGCATGGAACCGTGACATTTGTATATTTTTCATTTATGCCACCACTGAGGAAGACATCCAGAAAGTGAGACAAACCACAACTGGCTCCTCCGAGACCTGCAGACTCAAAAACGGTTATAGAATTCCCCAAAGTATGTAAAAAAAAAAAGATTGAAAATTTTATAAACTAGTGCCCATTCACCCCATTCTTTCCCCTCGTTTGGGAGGAGGAGGGGCAGGCCACAACTCACGGGATGCTTCACTGTCAGTTTGACGAATGATGCAAGAAACCTGACTCCCTGGGAAAGGGAGTCTGGGCTCGCCCAAAAATTTGCATTTCAGTACATTCAATGCTGGTTTTCTGGGGAGCTTCTTGTGGCTCCCTGAAGCTAGCTACCCACAGAAAAGGAATAAAGGAGAACTTAAAAGTAAAGAGGAAGCACTGCAGGTATCAGAACGAAGGTGAGACAGTTGGCTTAGGAAGTTGACCAAAGATCCCTAGGGGTGCCGTGGCTCTGGTACAATGACCAGCTACTGGGCCGCCAGAATCCTGTAGACCATCAAAACCCCTGTTCCCCAAGAGCAGCCCAGAACATATTGGTGAGGAACAAAAACAGCAGAAAGAACAGCATATATCCAGACGTCGTGGGCATGAGGGTAGACCTCGGACTGACTAGACCTAATGACACTGCGGATGACCTGTGAAAGATTAGCCCTGGAACAGGGGGACAAGGAAACAAGATCAACCCGCAATGCATCCACTGACGCAGAAGTGGTGGCACTAAGGTAGCGATGGACACTATCACCTGACACACATGATGTAACCCCTGGCCGAACCAACTAGGCATCAACTCTAACGGACCCCTCCAGAAACCTACCGACTCATTCTTCGCCGGAAAAGAGGAACCAACTGAAGAGTCTCCCAGAACCGAAGGAACAAAAACTCCAGCACCGAAGACGAGCATGAAGCTAACCAACTTTGCAACCTGAAGCCAGAGAAACCAAGAAGAGATACTTGAGAAAACAATCTCAGACTGAAGGGGGCACAGGAAACCAAGCGGAAGACAGAAGACGAAGCACCTGATCCATAGACCAATCTAGTTTAAGTGGCGCAAGAGCATACTGAAGGTGAAACAATGCATGAGACTGCAAATTGGAGCTAGGGAATTACTGACCCTGAACTCAAGCTGCAGCGGCTCTGCCAAATAATGAATTGGGTCCAAGTAGATTTTGTATTATTAGTCCATCGAAGGGTGATGAAACAATGTTTATAGTTGGCCAAGGCAAGACATATGTTTTTATAATTTATAAATCATATTAGGATGTGCTGTACTTTTCAAATGTGATTGTTATAAATGTGCAAACAAAAATTTTTATATAAATTTTATGCATGAATGCAACATGCATTATTGTAGGTTAACCCAAATCTTTGTTAAATTATGCTATTCAAATTATCAAGATATCATGTATACACTACATTTATATAATTGTCTTGAGGTATATGCATCAAGTAAAACTTAAGCTTTATATATATTGGGAACCTACTACCATGTGGCAATGAACAGTTTACTATGCATTACTGCAATAAGTTAACTAAACAAAGCTGCTGAAAGAACATTAGAAAATTCACTTTTGTGATTGGAGTAGTAGACAGTTGGAACAAGTTAAGTGAGAAGGTGGAGGAGACCAAAACCGTCAGTAGTTTCAAAGCGTTATAAGACAATGAGTGAGAAAGATGGGATACTATGAACATAGCTTTCATCCTGTAACTACACATACATACCCTTTTACATTAAAATTATGACTATTTCTTGAATATTCTCATCGTTGCTTTTTTTTTTTATTGAGAATTGTAAGTAGTACCATAAAAAGGTCATGGATAGAGGTGACATGGCAAAGTTTGATGTTACAGTATTGATATGGTTGTGTCATGTTGATAGACCATGGATTATGATAGACTGGTGAAGAATGCACTAGAGAATGAGTGAGATAACTGGGATTGAGTGTGAATAACAGCGTGTGTGTGAACATAAGAAGGTGCCAGTAGTTGCAAGGAGGGAGTAAACATTTTGTTTGCAATATACGTCAACTTTTCTGAACTGGTGTGGGCCTGTGGGGGACAGTTTTTTGGAGGTGGTGGTGGTGCTGGTTCCTCTTGATTCTCTGCATTGAACATGTTGCAGTAAAAATGGATGGGTATATTTTTGTAATATCTTTAGCTTGACTTTCCCACTCTGTACGGCTTCATTATCTTTGGCCTGATTTTTCCCCACAAAATGAAAGTATGAAATGGGGTGATGCAGTAATGATGATATATACTCCAGATGAACTTTTATGGATTCTTGATAAGATTATAGTTGTGTGTTCTGCTCAGTAGGTTAAGAAATTTCCCAGTAGGAATGTCATTACAATTAATGGTGATGCAGTTATTAGGAACAAACTAAAGGTTTTTGGAAATGAATACAGTATACTGTATATCATGTTTGGTGATGCATCATGCTGATAATTGAATCTTTATAATTTACCTTTTGACTTCCTCAGAGGATCCTCTTAACTTCCTTCGATCACAACCACAGTTTGAGCAAATGCGGCAGATGATTAGGTGAGCACTTTTGCAATTGCTTTTGTTCCTTATGTATAACTTTTATATGGAGTAGTGTTTTAATGATTGAGTGAAGAATATGTCTCATACTTTTAGTGCTGTTCCATAAAAGAATGACATAAGTTTGTTAAGAAACTAAATTTTCTTTGGGCTAGGCATAGATATTCATTCTGTAAAACAAATTATTCAACTTGATTTCCCAGGTCAAATCCGTCACTTCTGGATGCATTTATTCAACAAATTGGTCAAACGAATCCCCAGTTACTGCACGTTATCCAGGAAAACCAAGAGGCGTTTGTTCGAATGCTGAATGAAGGTGGCAGCTCAGGAGGTATACTCAAGATCTTGTATTAGTTTCCATTCATTTTTATTTATACTTACAGTAATTGATAACAATAAGGAAACAGGTTTAGATAGGCATAGATGTCAATAACGAATCAGTAGCAGATAGGGACATATTGCCCGCTTAATCATTCTAAACACTTGGTTTACGGATCTTCGACCAAAATGTTCAGAGAAATTCAATGTAACAGCTTTAAAGATGCTTTTCAGAATGCTTTTAAAGCTTTCCAGTATGAGCAGTTAATCAAAAACATTTTGAGTGTTTAGCTTCATGCTGAGGGGAGCTGCAGTAAGGTGGATGTGAAGAGTGAAAGTGCCTGAAAGAGATGTGGCTAGGTGCAGATTGATTAGATATTTATTTTTTGTTTTCAAACTAAGATTTTGGCAGTGTAGTTAGCCATATCGTGTTGAAAGAATCCAGTAGGCGCAGTTTGGATGCAAAATGGAGAGGAAAGACCTGGCAAGTTATTTTGCAATATAATGTATGTGATATTGAAAGATGCCTACTTTTTATTTTATAACTCTTTGCAGACTGCAGACATATTACTGCAGACAGTAATATGTCCTACCAATTTTGCTTTGGGGATGGTGAATGTATTAATATTCTCGGGTATTTCACATGTCTGCTGCTATCTGAACATTTTGATATCTACAACAAACAGTGACATGTGGGGCAGCCATGTCATTCAATTAGAAAAACTTGTATATTTGTTTACATGGCTCAAAATTGAAATAATACATGGTGAAATTGTCATGGCAGTGCCTCAGCAGGTTGTCAATGTACTAGAATAGTTTTTGTTTTACTTTTTGCATATACTGTACCTCAAAATGTGTCCACTTTGATAGTTAACATTTATTTGGTAAGTATTTATGAAAAATGTCTGCAAATGTGGTAATTTAAATGTCCTACGTACACACAAAATTAAAAATTATAATTATTAAAGCTATGGGAGGAAGGGGAGTGTAGTCTAGAAATATTATTACCTTCCAGCAGAAATTTTGCATAATCAACAGCTATTTTCTTTGGCTTCTATCTCCTGAGGCCAAAGCGATCAATGGTTGTTGAAGATGACGGGCTATAATGATAGTCAGTGTGGCATTGTGTAAAATTGTTGAGAGGAAAATCATGAATACTTTTCTGAGTTCTGTAGACATTCGTGCAAATTAATGCAGACATTCAACAAATTTATTATGGAGTAATTTGGAGTAGAGAAATCTGAAGATAATTTGTTACTATTAATAATAATGCTAGCAAAAGTTGTTAAAATGATAAAGAGTTGACAACGTGGCAGTTTTCCATTGCCAGATCCATATTTTTGTTATTACTCAAATTTGTTTTAATTAAATTCACTTATATATTTATACATACAGTATTTATCATCTGAAATGGCATCACATTTCATTTTATTAATCAGTGATATTCCTGATTATCCAAAATTATTGATCCCAGACCCTCCTGTATATCCCACTACTGGCTGCTCCTGAATATATCTAACTTTATTCTGTATCTGAATAACATAATCATAATTTATTCGATTGTTATTGTGGTTACCATACTTAGTGTCTTGCCATTTTTTACTGCTAATGCTAAAACTTAAATTTGTATAGCTAATCACAGGAAAAAGTACATTTTAATGTGAAAATTAACTTGAATTTGCTTATGGACATTGTGAATCATATTTATTCAGAGTATTTTTTTTTTCTTAAACACACAATCTGTTACATTGGACATTAACCCCTGCACTGCGCACCTGTTTTATTTGACAACTTCATGGTGCATTTGTTAATGAATTGTTAACATTACTGTATTTGCTGGCGCACTAGACGCATCTATTATTTTACAAGGATATTTTGTGGAAAAAAAAATAATTTTAGTATGTTTCATGATACATTTATTGAAAGATATTTTAAAGTGGGGTTTGTACCATAACTCTTACCTCCTGTAAGATTAGCTGTGGTGTAGTTGTTTATATTTTGGGCAAGAGAATTGCTATACAGAATGTGAAACTTGTATTTCTGGGTGTAATGTCTCGTTGCCGCATCAGGCCACCAGGGTGGCGCACCATCGCAGAGCTCTGGTGGTGTTGTCATTCATGCATTTCAATTGGCTGACAGGCGGATGAAAGTTGAACATTCCTTTCAAATTTCTAGGAACATTTTTCATTTAGATAATGAATAAATGTCTTAAAGGTAACCCAGTTGTTAAATAATGTGTGAGATTTCAGGCGTGGGTTATGTATACTGGGTAAGATGTGAGCTTTCTTCATAACTGCCAACGTATCATAAGTTTGTGATAACTTGGCTCGCTTTCAATATTTTATTATTAGCAATGATTTTTGTGCCTAGCGAACTTACCCAGTAATCTTGTCCGGCTCCCTAGTCTATGCCCCTTGGTCTCCCATCCGTAATATGGCTGCATTAGATGCAGGGCAATTTTTTTATACGTTTAAATATAAAATAGTGCCTCTTATACGCCGGCAAATACTGTAACTGAAAAATTTTAAAAACAAAAAATTTAAGAGTACTGTATTGCCAAGTTCAACCATTTTCATTTCAAATCATAGCAAAAAAATATTTAAAAACATTAAATACAGTATTGCCGAGTGGAGAAAATTTTTTCACCACCCATAGAGTGCCTTAAGGAGCTATGCTCAGTGCTGTGGTTAAACATATTGTAATCCTTCTGATGGGTTAAAATTTTCATTGTCGGGTTCCGTTCAAACAAGATATTACAGAAAAAATCGGTCCATGGAGTGAATCAGTTTTCTTAAATTAAATCCTCAAAGGGTTCAAATTCACTGCAGTACTGTATCTTTGGAATTTATGGTGTTAGTATTCAATGGTTGAAGCTCTTGGATGGTTCATTAGGTTTACTTTTTGGAATTTCTGTTTCAGGTGTGAGCACAGGAGGTAGTGGTAACCAGGGTAGTGGAGGTGGCAGCAGCGGCGGCGGTGGTAGTGGTGGTGTTAGTGGCCGTGCTGTTCCTGGTCAGAATGCCATCCTTGTTTCCCCTCAAGATAGAGATGCTATTGAAAGGGTAAGTCGGGGAAAAAAAAGTTAATTTTACTAAATATAAAGGTGCATTTTTCTCAACTTTCACATTTTATTTATTGAATAATTTTTAATTATAGAATGAAAGGAAGAATTATAGAAATTTGTCAAACCATTTTTGGAAGTGCAAGATTTACATCATGAAACTGGAGAGAAACTAGAATGGCAGTGTTGAGGCAATGTGATTGAATTAAACTCTTGTCCGTGTCTTCCCCAGACATTTGGTTCAATTGGTAGTGTGTGTGTGTCTGAGGAGTCCATGGATGTAAGTTCTATCTCATCAGGTTGCCAAAACATTTTCTCGTACATATGTCACTGTGATTTACAAATTGGTAAGATGAGATGCCAGAATTTGGTAAACAGCATTTTGCCTCTTGACACATTTGGTGTTTGCAATTTGAAGTGAAGGCAACACTTGTTATTTATTATTTATTTCATCATTATTATTATTATTACCTCTCCATTTTTTAGTTGCATGGGGTGGGTTGGCATTTGCTTGCAAGAAATTTAGTAACAAAAAATGAGGGTTAAAGATATTAACTCATAAACCATTCTAATTGCTTGAGAGCGGTTGGCCCAAATACTCTTAATTGCCTTGATTTAAGGTGCCCATTTTTTTTATAGACCCCCTACTCATTCTTGGGGGATGTCATTTGACACCTCAGTTGATCATTTGGCATATTTGTAAAAATTCCAGTCCATTAATATCCTTCTTGGGCCTTAGTAAATAAGATGCAAACCCTGTTTGACGCATCATCTGTGGGTCTCCATCTGGCTCCATTCAGACTGTTTCTTCTTTAGTTCATTGTCTCAACTGGCTTGGGTTCCCTAGTGTCCCTGTCTCTTTGCAGCCGGACTCGACAGATTGATCTTCTGCATTCTCGGGGATTGGCTCTCCACGTGGTTCAGGTGCAAGGAGTGTCCAATGTCCTTGCCAATGATATGTCCCAGTTCCTTTCCGTTTCCACAGAGGGGACATTTGATGCCGCATTCTACATGTGGCTTTGTCAAGTAATTCGGGCACCCGGATGTGGACCTCTTTACATTGGCATGGTTTTTGTGTCTTTCTTTGTATGCGGCACTGTTCCCTGACTGCGAGACTTGCACAGTGGCTAAAAGAACGCCTTTGATGCCTTTCAGCTGGACTGGTTGTGGTTGGGGTTCCTCTACCTCTTTCCCCAAGTCTGGCTGTTGCTCTAGGTCCTGTCCAGGTTGGAGTCCTATTGGGGTAGGGTTCTCCTTCTGGCACTGGTGGGGCCAGTCCAGTCTTAGTTTCAGGCGCTGCTTGTTCGGTGTCCGAACCTGTTGTGTGGTACATTCCGAAAAGGAATGTACCACACAACATTCCTTTTGCCTTAAGTCAACAGTTTAATATAAATTTAAAGTAACATAATAATTTCAGGTAATATCCAGCACAAATTATGAAACATAAAAACATGCTGTAACACTGCATAACTAGCTCCTACTAATTCTCCCTCCCTCCCTCCCTCTTGGTCAGTATCCGAACCTGGTAGTTTTTCCGCGGCTTCACCACTTTTAGAGGGTCAGCCAAGTGACGTACCAGTTCTTTGCTGGTTCAACCCTCTCCTCCATGCTACACATCTACTATTTATGATGTAGGTTTATCATCATTTTATATGGCGATAAGGTGGTTGAGTTGATGGTGTCCCACCTGCAGGCTTCTGCAAAGTGGCAATTTGAGGTTTCATGATGCTTTTTTTTCCAATTGTGTTTTTTTTTGTCAGTTTTTGAGCTGGTGGTGCTTTCTTTCCTGGCTCGTTCTTGGTTGGTATCTTATGCCGAATACTGTCACCTCATGTTGTGCAGCGCTGGTCAAGCTGCTGCAGTTTGCGTTCAGTGTCGATATTTTCTCAGCCCCGTTTCGCAGGCTGTCTCACACCTTGTTTCACCTCCGGCCTGCTCATGCGCCTCCTGTGCCTGCTTGGTCTTTGGACAGTGTTCTTTTTATTTCTTTCTTCTCCTTGGTCTTTGGACAGTGTTCTTTCATTTCTTTCTTCTTGGTCTTTGGACAGTGTTCTTTCATTTCTTTCTTCTTGGTCTTTGGACAGTGTTCTTTCATTTCTTTCTTCTCCTTGGTTCACGGTGGCCCCTTCAGTCCTGGATTGCTTGTTCTAGGCTATGTTCTTGGTTTCCTTTGCCTTCCAGATGTAGGGTTGGGGAGCTTCTTACTCTACTCCGGCAGTGAGGGCAGTGAGGTTCTTTGGCACATGTGGGTGGTTTGTTTGCAACCAGCCTCTTTTCTGGCGAAGAACGAGTCGCTTGGCTTCCACAGGGGTCCTTTGATGCTTGGTTGGTTTGGCCGGGGTGCATCATCTGTTGTGTCCGTTGGTGACTTTCTGCTGCTACCTTCATACCACTGATTCTGCCTCGGTGGATGCTTTGAGGGTCAATCTAGTTACCTTGGTCCCCTGTTTAAGTCCCAGGTAAGTGCCCTGAGTTTCCTTCTCTGTAGCTTCAGGGAGCCACATGAAGCTTTCCCCAGAAAACCAGGGTTAAATGTAATGACAGCAAATTTTGGGTGAGCCCTGGTGACTCCCTACACCCTCCCTCTCTCTCCCTCTAACTCGTCATTCTTTTCTTTCTCTCATCTGCCATTGAACTGAGGGCTGTGTCACCAGCTGACTGTGAGCTACCTTCCCCCATATGAGTGGTGGAAGTTGGCTGAATGAGCTGGCACTTGTTTTGAAACTTGTTGTTTGTTTACACTGTTGGGGAGTTGTTCTGGTGGTTCATGACGGTATGGTTTCTTTAGCCAGCTGTGGTTTTTGTCTCGTTGACTTTCTGGGTACCTTCCCCAGTGGTGGTATAAATAAATACATAAATGCCACTGCTCCCTGTGCCTCTGGGGGGGGGGGGGGGCAGGTTCTGGCTCTTGGTCTCCGGTCGGCCAAATAGAATTCTGCAGCTGATGCAACCCAGTAGATGGTACACTTCCAGTGAGATTCAGGGAGCCAATAGGGCTCGTCCAGAAATTGGCCTTTCATTACATTCAATGCTAGCTTTCTATATGTAAATATTTTATATTTCTTGTTCACAATTTTCAGTGCTATAATTAACCTATAAACTGCTCCTATTGCCCTTGAGCATTGAGGCATCATTGTGCTAATTGCCTGTGGGAGATTAGATGTGCATCGTAATACTCAAAAGTCCTGAAGATTCTAACCTAACCATTCTCTAAACCAGATGGCTTGATCTCGGGTATCCTGGGCACTTGAATTCTGACCTTGCAAAGGTGTAATTTGAGGCCCTGGTTCTGAAGTTAATGACTTTCATGGTGGTAAACAAGACTTGAGGGTTGTTTGCAGTCTTTGGTGCCAGTACATGCCACTTAAACCATCACCACCACCATACTGTCTTATCCACTTGCACCTCCCATCCTCCTTTTCTCTAATCTAAGCACATTTTATTCAATGTTCTCTTTACAAATCCTGTAATCATTGCACCTCCTGTACTCTTTTTCACCATATTATCATCATGAAATATGTATTCCCAGAGATACCTCTCTTGATCGGTTACAAGTAAAGCATGTTGTATGTAGTTGCCTTATATATATTATTATTATTATTATTATTATTATTATTATTATTATTTTTTCACAGCTCAAGGCACTGGGAAACTTTCCAGAGGATGTTGTTATTCAAGCTTATTTTGCCTGCGAGAAGAACGAAAATTTAGCTGCCGAATTTCTCTTCAGTCAGACCTGGGATTAGATTTTAATTATAACAAATTTAAAATTAATTTAGAATATGAAGTATCTCGTTAAGTGCACGACTTGAGCTGTGGGCTGATTTACCAGTGGCTTGTTATTTCCAAATTTTTATGGAAGGTTGAATTATGTATACTGAATAACTTTAAAATATTTCAGTTGATGAATGTTAGGAGAACTTATGTTTAGTGTAGGCTTGGGCCCTGCACTAATTGTTATGTGGTTGTATGCTTCAAAAACCCGTGCTGCCACTCTATTGTGTACATAATGTGTGTGATAGCTTTCATGTGGATTCATCTTACTTCTGTTGAAAATTGTAAGATGATTTGGTTTCTTGTTTACTATCCTTTGCTACTGAAATGGTACTTGCTCTCGCTGTTAATGCATGGGCAAAAGGATATGGAAAAGATTATCCAGGAGGAACTACAGGTATTCCATCCAAATAAATCTTTTCTTCATAATCTATGATTCTTTTGAATTTAAACTTAAGAAATCCCTATTTTTTGTTATGCCATTATTAATAGGAAAAATGTGCAAGTTTTTGTGTTGTATTTTGAGGTGTTCCATACTATTGGCTACTATTACTAGGTTTTTAAATTATGTTTATTTCAAGAGAATGAATGAAAGTAAACACACATGATATATTGCAGTCATCATTTAATTGGTATTCCTTTATGGGATTGTGCATTTTACTATTTGAAGTGCATAATTACTTCCCATATTTGAATGAAAATGAAGCATCAGGCTTCTCTGAGAGAAATAAAGTTATGAAGATTTAAGTGCTCAATGTTCATATTTTACTTACAAAACTAATATTTGTATGAAGCTTATTAAAGCTGAATTTTGTAAATTGGAAATTCAGTAAGGTTTCTAAAATTGGCTAGTACATTAGCAGTTTATTTTCAATGTAAAATATTGGGCGGTTGTTTTGATATGAAATACTAAATTATGAAATGGCATTCTTGTCTTGTCCGAAGCTTTTACAGCACATTAGCAGCACACTTATGAGTGAAGTTTGTATTATGTTCATTATTTAGTTGTCTTTAGAGATAGTTCCTTTCTCTGCTCCTTCCAACATCTGCCCCTTCATGCATGGAATGTTGCTTGAGGCATGCAGTGCAGCATTACTCTTTTTGAGAACCTCCCTAAGACTGACAATATAAAAGTACTGTTAATTCATTATGAGCGCCTACTGGATTATGAGTGGATAGGGAATTTTTTCTTCAGCTTTTTGTGAGGAAAGTGTGTTAGATTGAGGTTAAATCTTATTAAATAGCTTCGTTCCTGTTGTGCAGGAAAAAATCTTGTAAGCATGCAAAAAAATGGAGCAGCTAGTTGATACCGCAGCTGGCTAATAGTGACTTGTGAGCCTCACAACTTACTTATATAATGAATTTTGGCCTTGAAAATTTGTTTCCTCTCCAGTTCTGCCTGAGCTTCTGGTGGTCACTCATTACCTCAGCTGCTCATGAGTTTTGCCATTGGTGTGCTAATAGCCAGAGTCACTGAAGACACCCAGTTAGAATAAGTTGCCACTTGTGCTTTCCCTTGGCCTTACTTCAGTAGGGAAGCATTTTGTAAAAATATTTGTTAATATTTCTTGTGAAGAGGAACATGACCAGCAGGTTAAGTGTTGTTTTTCTATCCTGATTGCTACACGAAGTGAAAAAAAATATTCCGTTTCGTACGTGTGGATATGTATGGCATATTGTTACATGGTTTGCGATTTTATTATATTTATAGTACTGTATGTACATATCTTTTGTCAGTAATATCTGTTTTGAAAGTTAAGATAAATGCCACAACAACCATGTACAGTAATTCGTTTTGTGAGATACATTTTGTTGAAATTTGGTTATTTTTAATACGTGCACATCGTAGGGTCTTTGAGACACGGACCCCACACTGGAGGGGTTGCCCATGGGTCGCCCATGGGTCGCCCATGGATTGCTGGAGCATCTCCAGCAATCCTATAGCTACAAGCTGAGCATCTCTAATAATCATATAGCTACAAGCTGAGCATCTCTAATAATCATATAGCTACAAGCTGAGCATCTCCAGCAATCCTATAGCTACCAGCTGAGCATGTCTAATAATCCTATAGCTACCAGCACTTCCACATATCATGAAGGTTTGCGGTTATCGTCTAATCACAATTTAGTTTTTCATGCCAGTGTTTGAATCAATGTCTGGACATTACCAGACAGGATAGCGGCAGAGGAGCCAGTTAAAAAACACTTCTTTCAGTTGTACCAGAAACATTTTTTTGTTCCTGTTAGTGGAACAGAAAATGGTGTCTATTGCACCTATATTGCGTGTAAACATGCAATATGCACCATTTTCATTGTATGCCTATATACGGTACTTTTTCCCTCAAGGGTGCTGCCTTGACGCGGGCACACTCGTTCTCCGCCCCCGGATGTGTGTAGATGGCTTCTGCTCTCATATCCTGCTTGCTGTGAGAGTACAAGCAAAATATATTCCCATGCTTAGCTGCCTGTGCCTTTCTGTGCATGGACACCCATATATTTCCATAATATATGGGTGTCCCAAGTTTCCTTAATTTGTACTTCATTTGGCCTCATTTTCCCCTTGTTGGGGGACACAGGATGTTTATACTTCACTGTACATCATCATGGGTAACCAGATCGACATTTTGTCTTACCTCTGAAAGTTCTATTCCGCTGCGGTGAACCTTTGTTGTTGTTTTAGATGAGGCTACTCAGAACGAAATGTCCATGGAGCACGGGCTATAGTGAGCCTATAACGTTTCTGCCTCTGTGGATGCTCTGTGGGTCGATCCAGGTATATCAGTCGAAATGCTGAGACAGAAGACCTTTTCTTTTGCATCAGAGTTAAAAATATGCATCACTTGAGTTATCAACGGATCTTGTACATCTGAATGTTGACTGCACCACGGGGGGGGGGGGGGGGGGGGGGGGGGTAGAAATAGCCTAAGCTACTCTATTCCTCTGAGATGCATTTCTTTGTTATCTCAATAAACATACTTGAACTTGACTGCACCACAGTTTACATGGTGCACAAGAACAATCAGCGGGAAGTAAACATCAAATGGAAATATAGTCAAAATAATAATGAATGTATATTTTATCTTTGAACTATCATCAGTTCTTTGACAAATTATTGATTTTATTTTACATTTAGAGTATCATTATACATATAATTTAATGGATGATGTAACAGGTAATATAATGATTAAGTATATACAAGTCCATATTTGTCTACTAGTGACATTTCTAAAATGTGTTCATACACAGTTGAATTTGAGTTGAATAATCAAGTCACGAGATCAGTTGAGAGGGACACAAAAATATATTTAAACAAAAGTTGAAAAAAAAACTTTCCCTGGAAAAGCTGCATAATAAATGGTTATGATAGCGGGTTTGACAGCGGGTAGATGTTAGTAGCCATAAGAGGGAGCATAGCTGGGATGTTTGGCGGTGCCCTGGAAGCTCACGGTAGCATGATATCCGCTACCGTCGGCCCAGTAATCAACCCTCTGGACGCGACCGTCAGGTAAGTTGACCCAGTAGGAGCCCTTGGCGTTGCCATTGTTGCCGCTCTCTTGCTGGCCGAAGTTGGTGGCTCCAGAGTTGATCCCGTAGTTGAAATCGTAGGGCAGAGGCGCCTGTGGACACATCAAAGTAAGATTTTTAATGCCATCTTCACACAATAATTTATTATATATAATTATGATATTATGTTAAAGTTAGAAAATCGTGAAACACATGATAACGTACATAAGATGCTTGCTGGTATCCACCTGGGAGAGCCACACCAGCGGCCACCAGCATGCACATCAACACCATCTGTGGGAACACAAGACATTAACAGTTGTAGGTTGTGTATTGTTATGTGCACTAATAAATAACTAAAGTCTTTTTTAAAAATCTGTGATTTAATTGATATTTTGTATATTAGATGACTATCATTACAACTTAAAAAGAAATGTACTAACGTGATATATCAATAAGAAAATCAATTAGGCCAATGAGGTGACTCGAATAAGCGATCAGGGTACTCCCAGCCATGTACCTTACCCCTGTACCACGACACGGTAAAAGTTATACAACCTGAGAGTCCACTGACTAGAGGCCACTACTGAAGCCAGTATAAGTTTTACATGTTCTCTGCTGAAGGTAAAGGAGGGGGCCTCCAATCGTCCTGTGGAACCCCAGGTTGTATAACGTATACCATGTCGTGGTACAGGGGTAAGGTGCGCGTCTGAGAGGACAAAGATCGCTGATTCGAGTCACCTTAATGAGAATATCGTTAACCTCATTTTTCATGCTTATATTTCAACAGTTCAGTCAGTAGTTTGTAATTAAATAGGCAAAAATCGCCCACAAATACTCTTCAGACTTAAATCTTTTATATCGACTGGGCTTTGTAAACTTGTGAAAGGTAATCAAATATATTCGAGTTTAGTTAAATGGTAATACATAGATATTTAGCTCTCGATCACTAGAACTAGCGGCACACTAATAGACGAAATCATTTAGGTCGGAAACAAAGCCGGTCAGAAATGTTGACATTTTATCGAGATCATCAATATGCCGGTTTTAAGAAATTCTTGCAGCATTGCAAAACTGGTTCTTGACCTTGAAGTTAGATTGAGTTTCAAATGCTTGGTGAAGTTATTATGCACACTTTTTGCCATCAGAAACTTGTCATATCTGAAGGAAAGAAAGGAGCAAGTTCTTCGTGTTTGGACTGAATAATACATACAGAAGTAAACATGTTTGGTAGTGTGGTGATGGGGTGGTGAGCAGACACTGACTCCTCTGGTTTCCAGCCTGACTTTATACCTCCAGCCGGACCTCGAGTCACCAGTCTCACCATCCCCCCGCCACACTCACCCAAGGTCGCCCATGACTTGGTAAATTTCCTCCGAGAGAGTAGTCGGAGGCGCAAGTCATACAGTTATGTGTGAATGTCTTGTTAGCTGCAGTTCACTGAATTGTAGACTTAAGAGTAATAATTTGTGCTAGTCTACTAAACAAAATTAGATATAATAATAATAATAATAATAATAATAATAATAATAATATATAATAAGAAATAATAATAATAATAATAATAATAATGATCAACCCATACCTTAACGAAACGCTACGCGTATAATAATAATAATAATAATAATAACAATAATAATAATAATAATAATAATTTATTTGCAAGAAGGTACAATGGGTTGATCAGGTTACATAAGATTGGTATTTTTACGTTTATGCAACACCACTAACACACACAGCGTTTCGGGCAGGTCCTTAATCTAACATATCAAGTCGGATGAAAGAGTACATTGTTGCAAGGTTTTTATATCAACAAATAACTAAGTTGACAGGTGATTATACTGGTAAGAATATATGCCTTATATACTAATATTGGGGGCGTGAGTAGTAGAAGATACAGTGGGAGTTTGAAACATAAGGTAGGAAACTATGAGGATGAAATTAGGTACTTTTTTATTTTACTTTTGAACAGGGCATGGGTTGGACAATTTTTTAATTCATCAGGAAATTCCAAAGACTGGGACTTTTTATTTGCATGTAGTGTTGCACAGATTTAGTCTGACTGGGGATATCAAAGATATATATATCTTTGGTGCTCATGGGTTCTATTACACCTATCAAGGAAACGTTTCAGATCAAGATTAGCACAGGTATCCGTCATTTAGGAACAATATAACCGTCTCGTTCCTTTGATAACATTTATTTTATATATTTATATACAAGAAAGTACATTGGGTTGTGAGAGTACATAACACTGGTGTTCTTACATTCTTGCAAAGCCACTAACACGTATAGCGTTTCGGGCAGATATTACTGATATCTAATGGCCTTTCCGAATATTTTTAAATATATAAAATATTGATATGGATTGTATGGAGCATAGAGACACGGATTTTCTTTACAGTGTTGTTCTTTATAGCTTATACAATCTGCAAAATTCCATAGAAATAATTAGCCTATAATATTTAAACGAATTTAAAATATGTTATCACCTATTTTGTAGTAATGCAGTCATGTGGTTATCTTACATATAATAGATTGGCTTTTATGGATCTCTTTTTGATCAATATATGTCATTACTTTCATGTCTTGTTCAAGACTGCTTCACCTTGAAATTTAAAATTCACTGAAAATTTTGTATTAGATTTAAGACTTATCCGAAGCGCCATCCTTATAATAGTTTTCCAAGTATGTCCTCCTTAATCACCAAAATATGTACGTTCACGGCACATACACACACACCCCTCAAATGTAGATATGATAGAGCCCAGTAGTTTTTTTTTTTTTTTTAGTTTAGTTCATTTATTATGCACCCCATACCCATCTTGTGGGCGGTAGTGGAAAGGGTTACAGAGGCACATAATGGGCTCAGGGACTGAACCCCACAATTCATTTAGCTAAGCAAGTTACAATCTTGATGAGCTAGTTACAAAATTCAATATAAGTCATCACATCAACAATGGGTTCGAGATCGACCTCAAGTACAGGTTCTAAATTAAGCAACTGACATATGTGGAGAGCTAGTGTCAAAATTTATATGTTTGTCCTGCACACCGTCCCCCATCCAGTGGGCAGCGGTGGATAGGTTACAATCACTTAGTTACTACCTACAGTTAGCAAACTGGGGATATTTGGCTAAAATTTCTGGTAGCAGATCATTTTGAATGAAATATTGACACATCGCTGGAACATTGGTTATAGAATTGTCTCTAAATTCACGTATCTTTTCGCACTCCATCACATAGTGACGGAGGGTGTGCGAATAACTTTGTTGGCACAGTTTACATTTGGTCAGGTCTACATCAGCAGATAATGAGAATTCCCAGAGATACTTGTAACCGAGTCTAAGCCGAGCAGTAGTAACATCTAGAAGTCTGCTGATTTTATTGGATGATCCATAGATGTGTGGCTCCTCTTGCATGATAGTATGATGATAGATGGAATTACTGGTGTCAATTTCACTTTGCCTCAGATCTACAAGATCTTGTTGAAGTTCTCGGTGTACTCTCAGGAATCTGTACACCAGTTGATTGACAGTTGAGAGGCGGGACCAAAGAGCCAAAGCTCAACCCCGGCATGCACAAATAGG